AGCCGACTTGATGAATCCATTCCACCGACCCTGTCAGACGAAATGAAAGTTATGCCAGTATCAATCTACCAAGCGATTGTGTGAAGCCCAGCTTCTGCTCATATCTCAAAGGTCTGGCCTGCCTGAAATGTCGCCTCCGTCCTGCGACTCGCTGGCCTCCGAGCTCGTGCAGTGGAACGAAGTGGCATCGTCGCCACGATACTCATGACCTGCGCTCGATTCCCGTCGGGCGTGCTGACGGTACCAGTTCAGACAAGGTTTAGCCAGAATATTTGTGGAAGAAACTTGGCCATCAGTAGTCAAATCATCTTAATAAAGTTCTGTTTTCAACAATTACCTAATTATAGTCACTAAAGCCATTCAATTGGTCTCAAATATTTACTTGTTATTGCATTTGCCAATACTACTTACTACATTGTGAGTAGGCATTGCTATTAGGCCAGCTTAAGCGACTTTAACTGACCCAAATTGACTAGATCACTTATCAAAGATATACTGTTAATCTGGAACCATTTCGATTAAACATGTAGAGGCAGATTGTCCGCTGACAACAATACATGTCGACATTTCGTGATCAATTTGGAACCAATAAAATGGTCTGTCAGGAAAGCCTGGCTGCGATACTTTCGACATGGACTGCGCCATTCGCAACGCATTCACACTGCCACATAAACACACTCAAGTGCAACTTGAAATAGGCTTTCGTTCACGCGCCTCGACTGCTGGCCGAAAAACTGGCTCTTTTATTACGGCTTTGCTTGGCAGCCGTTACCATACTGCCGTGTGTGTATGTGTGTGTGTGTATGTATGTATTTGTACCTTGACTCTGAACTTGCTTCTACGCTTCAAGCCCTGGTCGAGCCGACCAAGTTGGTTGCTGATGCCACTGTCTGTCCTGTTTGTGGACATTCGAGCCAACTGTTCATTTCGAGTTGGTACCTATTTTTGCCATTCGTAGCTCGTGGAAGACAGGACCTGTGGCTTCCAGAGTATTTCGCTTCGGCCCGGATTGACCACTTTCACACCGTCAGTACGACTCAGCGTTCATGAGACCGGCAAGGCTGACACTTTGCGACAACTGGGCAAATTGAACTGCCGGCAGCAAGTGAACGAAAGAGAGAGAGAGACGGAACGATAAGTCATTTGGTACATCATTGCCGAATGAAACGGGCTCTGTCTGCGACTTTTGGAAGAGCTGGAACTCAAGCTTAGCGTCTTCCAATTGCATCGGATGAGAAGGACCAAGTGAACCTGCTTGAAGTGGTACCAAACCTGTTTTTCAGCTCCGAAAATGTCCATCTTCTTGTCGGCTGGATAGGATCTCAACTCGTCATGATTGGGACCGAAAGAGATCGTCTTGAAGGTTACTGTAGTTGGCATGGCTGACAGTTGCTGTAGCTCCAGAAGACAGGTTCACCTGGCAACAATGTCAATCGTCAAGTCGGTTTCACCTTTCTGATCGGCTCGAAAGCGTGCGTCAAGACGAGTCAGCAGATCAGCTTCAGGTTGAGATTCGAGAAAGGATAGTCTTCTTTCGACGAAATGGATCCAGTTGTTGCCCGGCTCTAAAGTGTTACTCAAATCTCATCCTTCACTTGACGATTGTTTTGTTTCCACTTCCGCCAGAGGGCATAACTGCACTCCATGCCGGTTTAGTCGAAATGAGACAAAACATTTTTCAGAGGTCAATTCAGTTTATTTTGGGAAATTTTACTCCCATGCTTTAATTCACCTTAAACCCCCCACAGCCCGATCACATTGTGTAACTAGGCAAGATTGGATGCAGATCTTTTTGGCCATCTTGAGAGAATATATTTCGTGTGAAAAGGACTCGGATTTTTGCTTTGCTCTCTCAATGCATTGCTTCTTGAGGGCAGGCGAGGGAACGGTCACTGTCCGATTTGCGAATTCAAAGTCAAACGGCCGACACATCAAGCCTCAATAGATAGACTACCTTCTGAGAAGCAATACTAAGTGAGATGAAATAGAAATAATTTTGATAAAATCCAACGATACCTTCTTCATCATCTTATTGCAATTAGGCTGTTTGGAAGTTTTATTCAAGAATTACTGCTTTTCCCGAAGCATACTTTCAATGAATATAAGTAATATAGTGAATTTTGGTGGCAAAATACGCGTTTTTCTCATTCGAAATCACCTGTTCTTGGCATTTCTTAAAATTCACTTGATGGTGGTGCATGATGGTAACATGTCGAAATCGTACCTTGCACCACGACAATCTTGATGCGATTCTTGCTAAAGAAGGTTGCAACTTCCCTACAGCTTTGAAAAGAATACATTTTGGGAAACAGGGCTAAATGAAATTAAATGAAGACTTGGGGTCTGCTCATGCGAGTGTAAAAATACCAATTTAGCCCTTAATCACTTTCACCGACTTAGGCTGACTAAAGCCGCTATTTAAGATCTACTGACAATCTGTAAACTTTACTGAAATCTGGTAAAAGTAGCACGAACCGCCGACTAAACAGATGACAATGGCTTGGGCATTTATGACCATTGCTCAAGACACATGTCAGCATTAAATGGACAAAAATCAGTCTACGCATGTTGGTGACAAGCGGGACCACATGAAGATCAACTTCACTCGTCTGCGATCGTTGGGGGAGCAAATGAAGTTGGTTAGCAAATGGAGTTTCACACAACATTAATATGAATGATTACGGTTGTGTGATGCATATACTGTCACAGTTGAATTGAATTAAATCCAATTGAGAGACATTAAGTACAATTAAGTTAGATCGTAGACTATGCTTGGTCGCAGCCTCCTCTGGTTGTATTATGTTGGTCGGATTTTGTCATGACAACTTGGTTGGAGCGTCTGAAAGATGGTATTGAGTCGACTGCAATATTAATCATACTACTTGTCAGTAGAGAAACACAGACATTTCGCCGGTATCGGAGTTACAACCCCTTTTCTGTTCAACCGTTGTGGCGTCACTCATTTCCACTATTTATTGTCTCTCTTTCTAGTGTTGCATCTCTGTCTCTCAGCCTCACTTCATATTGCCCATTTACCCATTCACACCATTATGTGTTCCCTCTTCATCCAATGTCGCCTAAGAGTGTCTTTGACGGAACATAATCACTTTCCCCACCGGTTTCAGGATCCAATTGGCAGAGCTTATGGGCCATGGATTCATTTAGCCCCTCTCCAGTCCGATTGTCTGCCACTGACGAGGCAGATTACGATGCTTGCGAAACGTACGGGAATGTACCAAGACCACGGTCCGACTGTGAAATTTATAAGACATACTACAGACTCCGGTCCTACTGCCAATATGACCAAATTGCGAATAAAAGATTTTTTAAAAATTCTAAAAAAAGTTATCTTGAACGGAAATAAATTAATTTAATTAATTTAAATTTAATGAAATTTAAATAAATCATAATTGTAATGCATTACATTAGAGTCACTTAAATTGACGTAAATTAGATTAGATTAAATCAAAATTAAAATTAATCGAAGTGAATGAATTTGAATTGAATTATGTTAAAGTAAGTTGATTTCTGTGTACTAA